CTTTATGAAGGCATAGAGCCTTTACTACATGAAAATGAAAATTAATGAATACACTGTGTACAGTAATTTACCTGATAAGACAGACCTCAGAAAAATACTTTATGAGAGCTTTTATACTTTTATAAAGCTGTCTATAATGAAAATTAATTAACTAAGGATTTTTTTGCCCTGCCAGGTGAGGCCGAGTTATCCGGAGTGCCGGGTTATCGAGAGCCGAGTTTTCGAGGTTCTACTGTATAGTGTTTATGCTTTTAATAATTTATACATATAATTTATCATCATTTTAATACTCTTTTTTTGATGAATTAGATGTGTCTTTTTATTTTTGGAAAAATTTGCTATATAATTTTATCAATTCTGAATTAAAATTTTTTTTTTTATTAGTGTTGACTTGACATGAAAAGAAATGTCATCTACTTGTGGTTGAAAAATTCATTGCCTTTTCAAACAACGTCTTTCAGCTCTTTCTAACTCTTCGATAGCAATAAGAATTGTGTATCCGTCAGCCATTTTCACTTTCGTGTAGTGATCTCAAATGTGCGACTCAACATGAGTAGCAACTCACATGGTGAGATGGGAAAGCACATGAGTTAGAACTCAAGACTACCAATTTGCTGTCAGTGTGAGATGGTACCACGTGATACCTTCAACACGTTGGGAGTTGTAACACGAAAAACTCGAGACTAAGGGCCCAGGTAAATCAGTTAGAACTAGGGACTAAGCACTTGTGCAGGAGTAACATAAATTAAGAAAGAACCGGTACGAATAACTTAGCTCTATTGGAGATGTGTACTATCGTACATGCAAAACAAAAAAAAAAGGTCGACAGGTTGCACACCATACGTTGGAATACAGACAAACTTGATAGAATTGCAGATGACTTTCAGTGAGTGTGAGTTCTTTCGTGTTAAAATAGTGTAAATTTGTAAAAATATTTGCAAGAACTTTGTTTCATTGTAATTTCACAATTTACACAGAATTCCCAGATAAAATTAATAGTTCACCCGTACAGTGAGTCAATTCCCAGACTGTCCAGGTGAAAATCGGATGATTGGTAACACTAGTTCTAAATTATGCCGCTACTGCATAACCAGAGTTCAGTTTATGGTAATAATTTGTGATTATGATCAGAAAATACATTTAGTAAAATTAAAGCATAATAATTATTTATTAAAACCATTAGTTTTAACAATAATGTACAGCTTGTATGCTGCTGGCGATAGAGGGGGGCTTCGACCACAAATTGAACTAACGACTATTGGTGCTGTTTGCTGCAGCTGCATAATTTAGAACTAATGCTCTCTCGGGGTCCAAGGCCCACAAACATATTTTACACATTACTTATAAATAAATGATAGAAATAGGCCCACTTTTTGTATGTATAGAATGACCTGTTTACTTAAAATATTTATGGTCTGTTTACTTAAAATTGCCCACCAATTGACACTATTGAAATGAGTTTTGGGTTAAATTAGAAATTGGCTCACCGATGACCGAGCGGTTTTGTTCCCTGAACACTGGGAATTTCGTCCTGGATTTGCCTTTCGCTGGGACGGGCTGGTCATGTGGAGTTTTCTTCACATCTTCAATGCCGAACCCTTAAAATGACCTCCCGGAAAACATCCCCACTAGGCAGATCACCCAAGTGTTGCATTTCCATAACTTCACAAAACAAACAAACATAAATTACGAATTAGTTTGATTAATTTATAATCTAATTGGTTACTACACATTTAGTTATCATTAGTTGCTAATTTGCTGTTGAAAGATTGTGATAAGTTAAATAACATATTTCTTATTTATCAGTGATATCATTAATGTATTAAAATGTACTTTCAATATACTGTAAATTTACTCAACATTTACAGAATATCGTCAGTTTCATAATTCTTAAATATATAAAACATCAATAACTTCTTCAGGTAACTGACGACTGCTAAGCAAATGCAATTCAAATTAAAGTCAAAATGGAATACCATTCAGAATTCTAATTTGAATTGCATTTGCTTAACAGCCGTCAGTTACCTGAAGAAGAACTTTCAAGTTCGAAAACGTTCGTAATGCTCTGTTTTTCCGAGAAGAACACCAGCAACAGGTTCCCGGTACATATTGTTTATTTTAACCCGGTGTAGTATATAATTCTGATTTTATATAAAACATCTGCAGCTTGTCCCACTTTTCTGTTTGAGCTATATCACATTTGACAAGACTCCTCCATTATATTCAATTTTTGGCTATATTTTTCCTCTATATATATGTATAGTATGGCCAAAAAGTCACTTGCCAAATGGGAATAATTACTGTTCTTATTGTTTCAGATACAATAACAGCCAGAAATAATCATGCTGACCCCTAAACAAGTGGAGCTTTATTATTGCAACAGTTATTTAATTAATATTAAATAAACAGTATTTATTTTAATTTACTGTTTTCAATACTGTCTTTGAAGACCACTATTTCCCCCTCCAAAAATATCTTATATATATGCATTTGTAAACTGTTAAAGTAAATAAACAAATTATTACAAATATTTCAACATTTTTTTGCTAATTATGTATTTGCTTAAACTTTGTTAAAACCCTAACTGTATCTTGAATAACAACCGAAGTTGTAGTTGGAAATTCGCCTATTTTACCAATCTAGGGACCCCCCCTTTTCAAATTTTAATATCAACTCAAAATAATTTTAAAAGACTAATTAGAATAAAACGGTTTATTACCCAATTATCAGAAATCTCACAACATGCCAAGGAAGGAGCAATTAAATAATTAACATTGTAAAGGATTAAAGAAAAAATATAGAGAAATGGGGAACATCACATTTTGGCACCGAGTGTTGCAATGAGGCTTGGACTTCTACAATGTTTACATATTAAACAAAGAACTTAGTCAAAGCAATCAATGAATAATGATTGAGAACTATCCCAAAGCAAAGATGAGTCATGTCAACTCAGTGATGACTCTATGAAAGTTCGACATCATTGCCAAATAAGAAAGCATTGTCTCAGCTACGATGATGACACTGCCCATGAATCGTCACCCGATGACGAATTTTCTCATTCTGTAAGTGTTTAAAAAAGAGAGCTCCAACCAGAGAAAGTTCAGTCAGTTGGAGGTGAGTCAGTCAGAGAAAGGACAGTTAGACGGAGAAAGACAGAAAAAGGGAGCGAGACAGACTGACAGACAGAAAAGAGAGAGAGAAAAAGAGAAACAAACGAGCACCAGATCAGATGAGTACCAGAGCGAGAGTAGCTCAAGAGAAGACAAGCTCAAAAAACAAGCAAGCATCAATAATAAACTAAGAGTGAGAGTGAAACAGGATCAAGAGAATGATCGACTGTCTGAACAGACAAGAGAAGACATCTTGTTTACCTGGTATGTTGTGAGTGGTGTAAGTTCAAATATTCCCCACTAGGCACCCCCTCATTGTATAGATAAAAATAGGCAAATTTCCAAAAATCGGGTTTTGTAATTCTGTTTTAAACTTTCGTTTTGTGTTAATAAATGTCCTTAAATTGGTTATATCTGACTCTGCCTTCTTCCTCCTGAGAGGCTCATTCCTGGACTTCGGAGTGGCTGTTACCCTCGCACCTTAATCATCTATTTAGTCTCAATTGGCAGTGTGTCTGATAAAACACATCTGGTGGCAGGACTCTACCCAAAAAGTGCATAATAAATCTTTACGGCCCTGAACCCCACATGTTTAATTTAGTAATAAATTTATATATAAATATATAAAATTTAATATATTTTGCTAGAATTAATACAGTAAATATAATGGTTGATGTTTTTTGTTTTGAGTGAGGCTGGTGCCTTGTTATCTTGTCAATCCTAGATGATCACCTAGATTTTGCCTAATGGTAAAACTGGCTCTGACTATACCAATGTTTTCTCTTCATTGATAAATATTATTAGTTATTTATTTGTATAATTTATGTTGTTAATAATTTTGATAAATGATAAATTTTTTTTGTAACAGTTTAAAATGAAATTTCTAATATGTATTTTTTTTACATAGTAACTGCATTTTTAGGAATGAAGACAAAATACAATGCTAGCAAGAAAATTTGCTTATAGTTTGATTAATTGGAATGTAAGAAATATGAGTTTATTATCTGTGATTTCTACAAAACCATTGAATTTTATCGATGGGAAGAGAAATGATCCGACCGATTTTCACAATGAAATTCCAGTGAAATATCCTGCAACAGGTTTTCTTATTATTTATGTTTTTATATTATTTTCAAAATATTAAACTAAAAATTTATTTTTTTTTTTCTAGACGAAACTATTCATAAATTAAAATGTTCTAATCAAAAAGAGGTAGAAAGAGCAGTAAAATCTGCAAATGCTGCATTTTTAAACTGGTCAAAGTTCAGTTATCAACAAAGAGGTCAACTACTAAAATCCGCAGCACAGAAAATTAGAGTACAAATTTATAAATTAATAAAATATAAAATTTTTTGCTGTAAAACACATCAGACATTATAATTACATTATTTTTCTATGGCAAAATTAATTTTTTTTTAATAAATTTATTCTGTAGGAAAATCTGGAAACAATTGCTCAGATGGAAGTTATAGATACAGGAAAACCTATATGGGAAGCTAGAGTAGACATTGCAGGTTGTGCTGACGTCATAGACTATTATGGTGGTCTGGCACCAACAATCAAAGGTAAATTCCAAATTTTTTATGAAATTTATATCATATTTTGTTTTTCATTATGCTGTGTTACATAACAGGTTATCATCATCAGTTGCCTGGTGGAAGTTTTGCAATGGTCACTCATGAACCTCTGGGTGTTGTAGCTGGGATAGGTGCTTGGAATTATCCATTTCAAGTAATGTCTTGGAAGTTAGCACCAGCTTTAGTGTGTGGCAATACATTTGTTTATAAACCTTCCCAGTTAACTCCTCTAACTTCTGTAGTTTTAGCAGAAATCATGGCCGAAGTAGGCATCCCTGATGGTGTTGTTAATGTTATACAGGTCTATTCCTTTTTGTCATTTAGGATATTTCTTAGTTTCTTTTTTTTATGACTAAATATGATTTATCATACATTGTATTATAAATTTCTTAAATACATTGATCCATCTCTTATTGCATTTATTATTGATACGATAAGTAGTGCATATGCAGCTCTTAATGAGGTAGTTGCAACCTTACCAGAGCTGTAGACTATACCTATAAGAGTAAAAAAGAAACCAACAGTCTACATATGACCCTTCATGAGATGATATAGTTCCCAAAATCAGCTTATCTGGAATTTTAAAGTTAAAAAATCCAGAACTATTACTCAAAACAATGTGAAAAATTAACTGTGTTCTTCTCGAAAAGTTTACTAAACATGAGAAATGCCATTTCATCAACTACTGCTGGGATGCAATTGGAATCATGCTGCATGCTCCATTGAGGTTATTGCATGTTCAGCAAGCAGCTGTAGGCTGATTTTTTGGTGCATTATATCTCAAAGGGTTTTTTGTAGACTATCACATCAGTTCCTTAGACTTTTTACTCCTACAGACATGGTCAACAACTCTAATAAAGTCTAAACTTCCTCATTTAGAGCTGCTTATTTGAAAATTTTATTTTAAAAAATTCTAAAATAAGACAATTTATTATTTAAGTAAATATTAATATAAAAACATAAAAATATTGCATAGATGCAATTTTTTTAAATTAAGAAATTATTTATTAAGAAGTATGCTTAAATTAATAATGTCAAATATGTAATCAAGTAACTAACATCTTATTCATTGCCAAGGGAGTTTATTAAAAACTAACGTTTTTGATTTATTATATGTATCCAAAACTACTGCATAATACAGGTTTAGAAGTATAAAATCAAGTATTTATTTCTGTATGTTTTGCATGAAAATATTTAAATTCACATTAATTTTTAATTTCACATTATGCAATATATTCAGCTAATTTCGTGTCGTTAAACATTTGATAAAATAGTTCTAATAATAAATATGATTTTTTAATAAATGTTTTAAAAATTTAAATAAAATATACTTCAAAATATGTTTCAATCTTGCACAATCTATAATAAGTGAGATAAGATTTGAATCAGATTATTTGGCTACATAATATGGCTGCAATTGAATATATAATATACAGGGTTTTCCTCTCAAATGGACCTAGTTTTGTGCATTAATTTTGGAAAAAGAAATAGGAGTATAGTACTGTAGACCATGGTAATTCAAAGTGCATCTGAAAAAGTTGATTACTTCACTAAACCAGTAAATTTCCACACATGCTCCTGATGTGGCAAGTATGTTAGGATGTACAATGCATCCTAACATAACCAGCATGTTAGGAGTTGGCATTGCAATTCTTGTATGTGAGGCTCTTGTGTCTGGTACTTTTGTACCATACACACAATCCTTGACATGTCCACAAAGAAGTGATATTGGTGATCAGCAGACCAAGAAATGGACCTGCAGAGAAAAAAACCTGATTTTAAAGAACAGTTTAGAATTAGGATCATTTAAGTGGAATACTCTGTGTATATATTAATCATTACACATACTGTAAGTATATAAATTTTATTGTTTATTTTTACAGGGTGATGGTGAGACAGGAAATATTCTCTGTCACCATCCTTTAGTGTCAAAAGTTACTTTCACGGGTAGTATCTCTACTGGACAAAAAATTATGAAAGCTTGTGCAGAAGGAATAAAAAAAGTGACACTTGAATTGGGTGGAAAGTCACCTCTTATTGTGTTTCGTTCTTGTGATATTAAAGAAGCTGTGAAAGCAACTTTACTTGGCAATTTTCTAACCCAAGGTGAAGTAAGTATTATAACTGAATGATATCACTTTACACATTTTCATTTGTTATTAAATATTTTAAAGATTTAAGCTGCAAAAAATATTTGATTAATTCCAAGGATTAACCAAAACTATCTTAAAGTACTCAGCAAATCACAACATATAAATAACACCTTATCTTTGCCAAGAAATATATTGTAGCTTTCTGAGCTTTAGTAAGAAGGGCATTTTTGTATTGTGACAGAATACAAGACAGGAGTAAAGAAATAGAATAATGTGTATGGCACAGACCCTGGGTTACCAAAAAAGCACTATATTCTGGGATGGTTAAGAACTATGAGGCAAACATCAAGAAAAGGTCATTTAAAAGTGCTCTCACTGGAGTCATAATATTTACCTATAATGAAAGTATGAATAGCGTTATGAAAGAGGTTGCTGACAGAAAAGGTTTGAGAATGCTTATAAAAAGGGCCCCTAATTATACAAAATCCTCAGAAATGATAAATATAATATAAAGTCAGAGGAGAAAGCAGGGGTTTATAGAATTCCTTATGAGAATATACAATTGGACATTTAAAAGAGACTATATTGGAGTAATTACCAGGAGTTTGAGACTTGGACTCAAGGAGCATAGTTATAATATCAGAAAGGAGTCTAATGCAATTATTTTGTCTTAAATGGTGCGAACACAAAGATCTATAGTCAAATGGAATGAGGCAGCCATCATCAAACCTTTATCTTCTTCATCTTTGGCGTTGACAGCTGATAAGATTCAGATTTATAGGAGTAAATTACAAGAAGGCTGTTTGAATGCGAGGGATGCCAAGAGTCTTCCCTCTACATGGAAGTTTATGGTTAATTAAAGAATTTACTAAGAGCTCTAACCGGTTAAAATAGTAATTTTATTGGATGTGTTAGAAGTATTAAGAAATACAATTACTATGTACATATTTTATATTTTTGTTATTCCGTTGGTTATATAATTTTTGTTAATTTTATTTTATGTTATTCTATTGCTTATTTAATTTTGAATTTTGTATTCTATTGGTGGAATGCTTTAATTCAAATTTCGTTCTCAACCTGAGGATGGTCTGTAAATCAGGCTGAAGACATTTGTTTTGGAAATAAATATATTTCTCAGCAAAGATAAGGTGTTATATGATTAACCAAAACTACCAAAATTTACTAGCTTATCTTTAGACTAAAAATCTAGCAATCCATTTTTGGTTTGTAAGTAATTTAAAAACTCAAATTACACTACACCCTATGTGTTCATAGATGTCAATGTTTGGGAATTCAATTGCTTGTGATCAGAAATTTATTATGATACTGTTTATTTTGGCTCAAATAAAATTACTTTTGCAGTAATAAAAACTATGCACAGTATATTTATTTAATATAATCATTCATTTTTCTGAAATTTTTTTTAAACAAAAGCAATAGTGGCAAAATGTTGTCATAATAGGAGCCATACACTGCCTATCCGAAATAAACAAGAACCACATCATTTATTTATATATCTATTTTAACTGTGTATTGTAATGTTATAACTGTTCTAAAGTGAATATCACTCTTACTTTACTCATATTTTATGATTGACTGAATAGGTAAATGATCATTTAACTACTTCAACTATATGAATATACTCTAAACTCTCAGTTGCTTGTTTGAGGCTAAGTTGAGAGTTATACTTACATAATGTAATATACAGAGATTGTAGTCAGAAAACTTAGAAAAATGGCACATACTACTTACACATATACAATTTCTTCTTATAAACTTAGTACATAAGTAATAAAATAACTTACTGGAATATAAATATTTAAAATAATCAAACACCTAATTAATTTTCAATTTTTAAACTGTTGTATTGCTTGCGTTCTATTTTACGTTCGTTTTTGTTTTAAAATGGCTTAACTGAAGAAGACTATTAAATATAGTCAAACATTTTTATTTTATTAAATACTTTGTTGCTGGAAATATTAAGGTGTTTGATTATTTTATTGTATAAGTATATGGAATCCATGATAAGGGTCTTGAAGAGCCACATATGGGTTGTGATCCACAGTTTGGCTACCATTGACAAAAAAAGCTTGGAATGAATTACAAATTTAATATTGAAAATAGAACTCGAAGTTTGAGAATTCAATGTTCGTGAAGGGTTACCTTAGTCCCAATTATTCGTGAACATGGAAGATTGGTGTGCTTAATTTAATGCCACTCAGGAGAACTTTTATGGAAAACCAGCTTCTGTTTAGGTATCAGGCAAACGAAGAAAACTAGGAAAACTCCACATGGCCAGTCTGTTGGTCACTCCATCCAGTCCCATTTTTCTGAGGCAGCCACTTGCAGATCCTTTGCTGCTTCTCTGTGGCCTATGAATGGGAGAATTCCCCATTTCTATTAGTTGATATTCTATATCTTCATTCTCACAAAAAGGTTTAAGTCACTGGCAGAAAGTAATACTATTTTTTAATTTGTGCTTAAAAATTTTTCAAAGCATTTTTGTCTTATCTTTTGAACATGATTAAAATTAATTAGAACTTGCATTTGTAAAACAATTTTGCCAAATTAAAACTTGGCAAAATTGTTTTACAAATGCTAGTTCTGTTGAATTTTGAAATTCTTATATTTCTAGCATTCTTTTTAAAACTTTAGAAATTGTCACAATAAATAATTTTTAAAATTTAATATTGTTTTACTTTGTCTTCCTTATCACATTATTAAAAGTTTATAAATTAAACCTGTAGGAAGGCAGCCAGATGTAAGAGATGGGGTCTGACATATCTGGGATTTAAAACCCACAAAATATTCCTGGGAAGTTGTTTACTCAAATTTGATTCCTGTACCCTAAAAATGGTAGGGTGCTGCCTCAGCCATCAGTTTTTTGTTGGCCAAGGCCAAAACATCATCATTATTCTATATATAACTTTTTTCTTTTATGTTTTAAGCCAAATACAAGACCTGATTATTATTGAGTAATGTAGACAGACCAAGGATATTTCAGATAATTAAAAGTTTGATTAACATAGATTGTTTAGTAAATCATTAAATAAATTACATTTAGGTACATTAATGTGTACAATGTGCTGTAGTTTTCAGTTAAACTTACTTGTTGAACATAATGTCTTTTAAAGTACACAATAAAACATTTGTAAATAAAATTAAAACATTGAGAAGTTGAGGGTTCAAATCCTGCCTCTGGCCGATTCTTTCTTCCTGAACCTTCTAAATTAATTATTAAATTGCATAACAGCATACATGATAACATGAACAACCCAGGACATCTTCAATTAAAAATTGAATTATGACTATTTACAAAAAATTATAAAATTTTTTCAGTATCTTTTATCCTTTTAACACACCAAAGAAGTAACAGTATATTATTCATGTTATGTATGCTGTTATGCAAATGAACTTTATTATTATTCAAAATTGCCACCAGAGGACCTGAACCAGTTATATATTGTGCTAAAGAACATGGTAGTTATGATCAGAAATTGTAACCATTGTTTTAATGTTAAAGGATGCCGAATCCTCAAATAAATGGTCGGCGTTTTGATTATTTTTAACTTTGTGTTTTCTTTATAATTTATCATGTGTTCTATGGAAGTTTATCCAAGCCAATATACTGTTACTTCTGTGGTGTGTTAAAAGGATGAAAGATAGACTTAAAATTTTATAATTTTTTGTAGTCATAATTAAATTAAAATTTAATAATAAAAAATTGAATTAAAATTAAAACAATTGTAAACGTAAGATAAAAGGTTAAAAAATTAATTGTTAAAATTTGTATTGTCATAGAAGTCACCAGAGTAAATTTTCTGTTAATTTCTATAACCTTTTTCAATATGGCACAATGACAGCCAAGATTATTGAAACAAACAGTACTGTATTAGGATCTTGCATCTCTGTTGACAAAATACTTTCCCACAATACAACTTGGATAATTAGAACTACATTTTTTTTTATCAAGGATTGCATTAATGTTTATAATTGGTTTGGATCCTTTGTGTGTTGATCTATTTAAGTGTAAAGTTCACTATAACTCTCAACTCATAAATGCTTAAATTAATAGAGATGATTGCAAATTTTTATATAATGAAATAAAAAATTACAATTAAAGTTATTCAATAAAAATTAATAAATTAACTATATTGCAAATGATTATAACAATATACTCATGTACCAAAGAACAAGAAAAAAAAAAGAATGAGATGTATATAGAAGTTATTGCATCTTACGTAAACTGTAGCTATAATGAGTATTGATTATTAGCAAAATAATTTTTTTATTTTTAATAAAAATCTTAAGTACAAGTGTAAGATTAATATACAGGTAACCCCCGTATAACACGGTACTGTTACAGCACGGATTTTCTCTGACACTGTTCGAGAATTGGGTAAAACCCTCGTACAACTGGAAATGTAATAAATTTTTACATACTTAAGTAATAATAGCTCATGAAAATTATTATTTTCGTGAACTATTAGTACTTAAGTATGTAAATTTTCTCTTCTCGCCTTCTGTCGATACACGTGGTCCTTCTTCAAACTTGTTTCAATGTTGCCAGATCGCAATGCTTCTGCTTCTGATGTTGCCGAATGTTTTTCCCTTATTCCATACTTGCTTTATTCTTCATAAGTGCTTAGCACCATATAAGGAAATTTATAAAGACCTTTTTAACTAGAAGCAAGCAATCAAAAATTACATACATTTTGCAAAAGGTAAAGCATGGATCTGAAGATAATGCAGAAAAATGCTCAGAGGATAAGGATAACTTGCCAAAAAGAAAACGCTCTCGGTTAAGAGTGCTTTTAGCGATGACGAAGAAAACATTGTTTAATTTATATTAATATGTATCACTTAAGAAAATTTTAATGAAGATATTTATCTTAATTATGAAAATATACTAGCATGTTTTTTAATTTTTGGAATCTAACCCTTCTTTTCGTATTAGTTTTTTGTTTCGTATAACACGGATTCGCATAACACTGCAATTTTTTGGAACGTAACTACCGTGTTATACGGGGGTTTCCTGTAAATGTTTTAAAATGTACACTTATTTTATGTACTGTTTATCATTCTTTGATTATGACTTTTGTAATAAATTTAACAGGTATGTTCAAACTGCACCCGTGTATTCGTAGAAAAATCCATATCCAAAGAATTTATTGATGAGTTGTTAAATTCAACAAAAAATATGATCATTGGTGATCCAACAGATGAAAAAACAACAGTAGGAGCCATGATATCAGAAGAACATGGGGAAAAAGTTTTAAAATATATTGAAACTGCTAAAAACGAGGTAATATTTAATGTTAAATCAGACATAGAAAATTTACATGTAAAATTTTCAAAGTTCAATGCAGACAGTTGCTAATTTGAACCATGGCTTATCACTTTTTTGTTTCATTTGTGCAGGGTGCACATGTGTTGTGTGGTGGAGAAAGGATAATTTTTGAAAATTCGCCACTGTCTAAAGGATTTTTCATAACTCCATGCATATTGATAGACTGTCGAGATGATATGACAGTCGTAAAAGAAGAGATATTTGGTCCAGTAGTGTCAGTTTTAACATTTGAGACTGAAGAGGAGGCTCTTCTTAGAGCCAATTCTACTCCCTATGGGCTTGCAGCAGGTGTCATGTCAAAGTGAGTTGATAGTATCAATTACTTATTTTGAAAGTAATGTTAAATTGCATATAAATACAGTGAAAAATGCTTAGGCAACCACCTGTCAAACTGGGCAAAAATTTCTGGCACCGAATAGTTTATCCATAAAGCCTTTGTATAAGTTAGCTGTATTAAACGACCACCTGTGTAACGCGACCGCGGGCATCAGTTTTTGGTCCGAAACAACATACAACTATAATAAGCGACCGCTTCTGCATATATATCTGGTCTAAACTATTATTCAACAATGTTTCCCCCTTCCTAATATAATGAATTAGTCTAAACTCTTGTTTGAACCCACCTCAGGCACTTCTCCCACTCTTCAAATTAGGTGCATGTGTTAATAAATTAGTCTAGCAACAAAGGAAATTCATTTCAGTTTGTTTGAAATTGTCCGAAAAATGAAAGAAATGCAAAGTGCTGTCATTAGAAGATCGTGTTAAAGTTATCACAACAGCAATTAGTGGCGAAGTTTAACTGTGTGAAAACGAAATTGATTTTACCATAGACCTACAGTATTTTCCTTGGGGATATATTGTACACGATACAATTAATCAGCTGATCTCATCGTTAAATAAATAAAAATAAATTTTATCAATTTTTAAGCTCATATATATTGTAGGGAACCCATTCTTAATCAGTGGATTCCACCCCGTTGGTTCGTCTCGCCAATTAACCAGTCCAATCTTTCTACAAAAAAGCTTTATTTCACTCTCAGGGACTACTACTTCACACTCCCTCTCCCTCTCATGTCCCGAATTCCTATCTCCCAAAAATTTCTCCTTCCCGCGTTTTCTTCCCCGGTCTTAATGGCTCCTCGTTAGCGTGTGTCTATGGATGGATTGCATCTGCCCCGACGAAACCCCTCCCCAGAGAGGGAGGGCGAGAGGGTCCGATATCACTACATATACAGTACATGTGTATTTGATAAGGTAGGTTGATACAGAAACTATTTATTTCCACGATATTTTTAGAAAAATAATATCCAAGTAATTTTCGCACGCAAAACATTCAAAAAACAATAAACACATTAATGCAAAAATCAGTTTTACAGGCAATGTTCCTTTTTTTGATTCCGCAATGACAATCGCGAAATGTAATGAAATCATATAATGAGAAAAAAAAATAAATCGTTTTATTAATTAATAATTTTTCCTATAGTAATTAAGAAAATATTAAATATTAAAAAATATAAGAGAAATATGTACGGAAATATGGTATTACAGCACCTCTTGTATTGGACGACCACCTGTCTAAAAGACTACTTTTTGAAGGAACAGCCATAGACAGGTTTTACTATATTTACTTATTTTAGTTTAGTTATTAAAAATTTACTATAATTACAGAGATTTAAAATTATTTAATAAAACTTGTTTCATTTTTACTTTCCTGGCTGTTATATATAATAAAAGGAAAGTATGGCAATCGATCAAAAAATCACCCCCAAGATTTTTGCATTTTTGGACTTAGGACAACATAAAACTTCAAGAAATACAGAAATTACCCCCCCAAATTTTTTGCATGTATTATGTTTGTGTGTGGGGGAGCATGATTTTGTTCACCCTCTTTGAAGCTTAATAACTCCCATGCTTTTTGGCAAAAATTTCTGAAATTTTGCAGGGAGATTTGTTTATTAGGGGGATTGGTGCTATTAAATTTTGGTGATTAAAGATCGAGGGGTGGGGAGACAATGAGGGTCATGTGTATTTCCAGTAGAGTTGGTTGACGATTTTACTTGTTATTGGCATTTACAATTTCTTATAAAACCCATCCCTATCCTCAAAATTAAGCTTTTTGCCATTTTATAATAGTTAAAAATATAAAAAGTTTTTTTAATAAAATACAATAATAGATGACACCACAAATTTTAAATCATTCTGGGAAAGTTGAACAACTCATTGCCTGTACCAAAATTCACAAGAAAATTTAATAAAAATAAATCAGCATTTTCATTTCCCAAAATCCACAAAGAAGTTATGACCAGTGACTGAAAAGTACTGCTTATCTATGTATCTACTAGAAAAACACTTTCAAGCTTTTATCTCCCCTCACCTTAAGGATTACACTCTTTCAATCACCAGCTCAATCAAAATAGTCACTGCACTACTGCAGGATTAAGTTGAAACTACATTTGATTTTACAAGCCTATATTTCTCTATCTTGTTTGCAGTGGTGTGCATCATTGGAAGCAGTGGAAGTGTTGCTTCCCTTGTATTTTCTAAAAATTAAATAAAATATGAAAATAATCATACAATATATAATGTATTTTGGATTAATTAAAATTAATATTTTATTATAACCGCATTATTTATCTTATTACAAATTTCTTTACTACACGTGAAAAAAAATGATAAGATTGCTATTGTATATTCGAATATCAGTGGCAGAATGGAAGCACCATATTGTCGAAACCGGGTCTGCTTCCAAACAGCCAGATTATATGCATTCGCGCATGCACTTTCCAGAACACTAACCTCACGTGGTTTAGCTGATGGATGCTACACACCATGACACTTCCAATGATTCTATCCAGGACCGGTTCTGGGCTGTTAGCCGCCTGCCCGCTAGATATTTGGCCACCCTCGCCCAATTATGTGAATCATGAGTAGATTTATAACTTAACCCAACCAATAGGAATTTACTGATATGTTTTTATGATAGTTCCATATAGTTGACAGGAGTTAAAAAAAGGCATTAAAATATTTTATATTTTCATTTTGCTCTCCTATCTTATATTACTTTTGGATTTCAGTGTTAAGCCAGTGATATTACGATTTCGTATGTCCCATCTATAAGGGAGTGTAGAAAAAAACGTGTACAATTCTTGTAAAATATTAAAAAATTAACTGTTACTTTGGCAGCATCATTTACAACTAAATTTCATGAATGAGATGCACAAGATACAAAAAAAGCTCTAGAATTTATTTTCCTTAAATTTACGATTTATGTATTCATTGTCATAAAAATTTCTTTCCACTTCTTTCCCAACACTACAAATATTCAAGTACAAAGTAACCAGTTTCGACTTCTTTCTACTTAAGATGTAATCAAATAATTAAGAGATTAGGGAATTACGGACATAAATAAAACCCTGCTGAAAGAGCCAGAATTTTATTTAAACAAAAGTTTAAATGAACCAATCTTTAGCTGAGTGCAGTGGGGACTGATTTCTTCATAATATTAGATGTAATAAAGACAGATATTTTTCCAGTTCTATGAGAGTGACTGAAAAGTAAATTTTGGAAATTTCTGTGGACAGCTGGTCCTAAAATGAATTAGTTAGAAAACAAAAGATGGACAATCAATTAAGTTTAACATATTTAGATTTTTATAGCTATGGCGAAAAATGTTTAAAATTTACAACAACCCTGTCATGTCCTTTGATGTATACTGGTGATGCGACAAAAGAGGCATTTGACATTGACCAGTATCGGCAGCCTCAGGATTTGGCAGTCCACATGCTGTGCAACCCACTCTGATTCCATCCATTAGCCACTCGTAGGGAGCTATTTGACTAAGTGGATTGTTTTAAGATTTAAAAGAAAATAATATTTTATGTTATTTTTATGTACGTTTCTTTACAAAGCTATATTTAATCATAATTTTCTTTAAAAGTATACAATTGTTCATACAATTGAAGAATATTTTGTACCAGGTATGTACTGTACATCCACCACACATTTTACCAAGTAAGTTTTTATTTTATTTTTAATTGTAGCCCTTATCAGTGGTGTAGCTACAAATTAAACACCCTGGAGCAAGTAGAGTCGGTGTGCCCCATAGTTTCTTGGAAGAGGTCTCGCGAACTTTGTTTCGAACATTTAATTTTAAAAAATATATCAAATTATTTCGATTTTAAAACTTTACTCAATAATTTATTTGAGATTCAAGACATTTCAATAATAAGATAATCAATTTAATAAATGCAAACATAATAATAAAACAAAATACAGTATAATTCTGTAAGTATGGAATACCTAACAATAATTACTACATATTTAAAAAAAACTGTATTGACAAAATGTATTCAAGTTTAGTTTAATAACAAATACATAATAGCGAGGTTGTGGCAGAAGTTTTCATCTGTAAAATGTGAACATTTTGAAGATGAAAACTTCAGCTGCAACCTCACTAATAATACATAAAAATGCTTCAAAGTTGTTGTTGTTTTTTTGTTTTTTTTTATTATTTGCAAATCGGTCAATCACTTTCTCCAAATCAAGTTGACAAGCTATTGTTGTTTCAATTGATATAGTTGCCAAAGAGTTAAGTTGGTGTTGTGATATGCTGCTTCTTAAATAAGTTTTGATTAATTTCAGTTTTGAAAAACTTTGTTCTGCTGTTGCTGTTGTCACCAGTAAAGTTAAAAAATGAGGCATGCTGCAATAATGTCAGAGAAGCCACTTGAGGCTGCAGTGTGAATTAAAATTAGTTCATCAACTTCACATATAGAGGTTTAAGTGAGTATTAAAACACATTTTAAATCAAAGCAATTGAGGTCGAAAACTAGGCAAAATGTCGGAGGGATATGCCAATTGTAACAATTCTGATTTTTCTAGTATGTTTTTATCAGATGACGCAACAAGATATGCTGGTGATGAGCACTTAAAAAGTGTACACAATTCTCGAACGGGTTCAAATCTAATAGTTAATTGATTAATTATTAAATCCGTTACTTTATAAAACACACTGACTTTTAAACATTGTTCACTGTTTTCAATGCGCTCATCTACCTGTAATTCATCAAAGAATTTTTTCACATGATGCAATCTTTTTTGGAAAAAAGGCTCAATATTCCATATAACTCAAAGACATTGTTTTTAACAAACTCCCAATTATTCTCTAAGTCCTGGAATTGGATTAGGAGTGATGAAAATATCTCAACGGATTTCTCTATATCTTCATGAGCACTTTGCAGCATTTCCGAGACTTATTAATCGGTTTTAGTATTTTACTTTGTATTATTATCAAAATAATAGTTGAAAATTGTTCAAAATAATTAATCAAATTTTTAGCTTTATGTTGCTCATCATAATTTTTTTCATTTAATAAATACATCAATATTTTAATTACAACAAAATAGCAAGAACGTAGTGCATCAAAAGCATTAATATGGGAAGACCATTGTGTTGGACAAACTCTTTTCAATGTTTTTTTGCTAAGTTGGTTTGATTTGTTTCCATTAACATTGCCCAACGCCTAACAGAACTGAAAAAAACAAAAATTTTTCTAACTATTCATAAAATTGTCTGACTTCTTGTACCTTGTGACACTGTCATTGATCACTAAATTCAAATTATGAGAACAGCGATGTACAAATCTGGCAGTGGGGTTTTGTTGTTTAATTCTTGCTTGTAACTCCGAGTAGGTACCACTCATATTCGCAGCCATGTTGTAACCTTGACCACACAATTTTGATAAATTGGTGAAATTTTCAATACATTTTAAAACTTGTTTCTAATCCTAGTGATGTTTGATCAGTAACCTGAATAAAATCCACAAAACATTTTCTTTATTTGCAGCTCGATTGTTTTTTCATTTTTATCTTTTTTTATTAAAACATAATGGAATACGATACTTAGCTGATCGAGTTTTAATAGATCTTGTGTTGTATCTGTTATTACTGTTATGAAAGTGGCCTCTTCCATTTCACTGTTAATTTGGACATTAATTTCATGTGCAATCAAATTAATTAATTCATTTTGTATATCCGGACTCAAGTAATTGGTACTGCCTTTGGGTTTCTTTAATAGATCTGTTAAAACATCATCATAGCAAGAAAGTAATTTAATTATTTCTAGAAAGTTTCCTTTTGAAGTTCCTACATCTTGAAGTTCTGTAATCCTATGATCTTGGAAAAGTAATTATTTATAGCAAGCATTATAGTTACATCTACTATACGTCGCAACACTTCACGCCAATAATTTACCGCATTGTTGATTTCTTGCTGACTAACAACATCTATGGTTGAACCACTTTTCCATTAGTCAGGAAAAGAGTAAACAAGGGAATAAAATACTTAGCTGGCTATAGAGATAAGAGGTTCATTTTGTCTAAAATCCAGGTGTGTTTGACTAATACCAATAAATCTACAAAGTTCAGTGAATTTCTATAAATTAATTACTTTTGTTTTGTTTGAAAATTTGAAATTTTATTATAATTTTTTTACAAATGTTTTTACAAGTTTTTATTTTGCCTTCCTAATTTCGCACCCTCATGATACGTGCACCTGGAGCAGTTTGCTCCAACTGCTCCATGGTAGCTATGCCCCTGGCCCTTATATCGTGGCTAGTGATTCAGAATGTAATTGTGATATGAAAAATATATTTAGATATCTATGGATTTTACTGGCTTATCGAACATATGAATACGAATGGACCCTAGACCATCACACGCAATTAACTGATTGCCCCTGGAAGTTGGCTTCTTACAGAAACACAGTTTCCCTATCATCAAATGCCACTGCTTGTTTGTATGTACTGTACCATTAGAGACTTTCTGCTATCCCATATTCCAAATTTCCACCAATATTTCTCTGACATCCTAGAGCTAGAGATTTAATATGACATTCATCCTTTTTCTCCTTCAACATAAGATCTAAAAGCAGAACAAAGGTATACCCCATGGAAAGCTGTCTAGGCTTACTTTGTTTTCTTGGCATTACAGAACTAGATCTTATATTTCTCCCAATTCTCTCACTTAACATCATTTGTTATAAATGATATATGGATAATGTCTTAATATCTTAATCCTTTGAAAGTACAAACCTGATGTAGATGTTATTCCTTAGCTGAAAAATATTAATTTATATAGTCTAACCCTACAAATGGATCAGGTGGTCACAGACACTAACTTTCTGACATCAATCTTTTGCTCATGGATGGCTGAATCCACACCAAAATTTGTCTAAACCAACATTCCAATCACACAATATCCCTACTTCTTCTTTCAACTCTTTCATTCACAAAATTGTAGCCTTCTGCACATTGGTCAAATATGTTTACACACAGATTTGATGATCACATTTGGCTCCAAATTCTATCTAGCAATAAAAACTGGCCTCTAACAGTATGACATCCTCCACCTCATTGAGAGGTTTGCCACTCCAACCAAAACCATATCAAAATGTAAGTCTGTCTTCTCCTCCTCCACATTCACAAACTAAAATCCTTCAATCTATCCTCAAGTCTATCATAAATAATAATAAATGCAAAGTGTATCAATGCAACCAAGCTTTATACTGCCTCCTATGGATTGTTAAAGACCCCATGGATGACAAATGGAACTTCATACACTGTTAAAGGTGCATTGATTAATTCAGCTGAATAACCACAGTGAATAATTCATTCTTATTTGGGATTGATCGATTTTGAATAACCTCTGATTCTATTAGCTACGGTTAAAAGTAGAGTACAATTTTTATTGATCTAGTTTAGTCAGATTGTTGCAATTTTCATCATGTACAGTACATATGTTAGCTGTGACAAATTGCTATGAATTTTAAGGATGTCATACTATGTTTGCTCCACTTTAGACTGTATGTAAGGTGAACATTTTTATAATTGAAGTTTTAGACTATGTACAAAAAATATAAAATTTTTGAGTCTATCTCAATCCTTTTTTATACAACACCAGAAGTAACAGTTAACATGGCTTTTTTATTGAAGAATAACTTCTTAAAAAACAAAGGTAAACGAGTAAAAAGAGAGATCACAATGTTAAAAACGATCAAGTGTCAGCCTTCTGTTGAACATTTTTAATAGAATATAGTTGATAGTTATAGTGATTAAAGCATTAAGCACAGTGATTAGCCTGATCTGAGGTTCCAGGATTGAATCCAGGTGAGAATCCTGGAGTTACTCATGAGTGGCAGATCCTGATATATCATATCTGATCTCTCACCATGTAGTCATCCCCATTGTGTATCTGGCCAAATCCACAATGTGCATATGGAAAAAAGGCCGTTAGTGTCCACAGGATAGAAAAATAAAGAACAAAATGTGTTATGCACAATGATCAGTATCTGAGAGTGACAACAAATTTCAGCCTGGAAATATATCAAATATAGGCCTATATACTGTATATCTATACAGTATTTGGTTATCTACAGTTTAAAGAAGAATGTTGATATCAGAAGGAAAATGGGTTAAACCTTGATGGAGTAAACAATTGGGAGGTGATGGTAATGGTTGATATAGAGAGGTAGGCAGCCATCTTAATCATCTTGATGAATATATAAATATATTACCAGCCAGATGGTCAAGTGATTAATTACTTACCTCTGAAGGATTGCAGATAAAATCTGGGCAGTCAAAAAATCCCAGGAATTTTTTGGGGGTGTTCTGTCATTGATTGATGTGTCAGATCCCCCCATTCCTCACCACCTGGCCTTCCCACCTGGGCTTGAAAAAAGTTCTCTTAGTGCCTGCAGGATGGAAAATGGCCACAAAATCATGGTGGACTACAGTTCAAATTGTGATCAGTTATTTTCAAATTAGAAGTTACAAAATGTACAATACATCATATAAATGTCAGTTTGTGTGAGACAGTATGGCAGCTTTTGGCTTGAATTAAAATAAAACACTTTTTTTTTTTTTAATACAACAGACAGTGCTTATATTTTCTTTGTTAATTTATTTTTCTCAAAAGAAACATAATGTATATTGAAATAAGAAATGGCCAAAGAACAAGTAGCCTAACAGTAATTATTGATCTCCTAGTGGGGCAAGTCTATCATTGACAATGACTATTCAGTAGATACTATATACTGTCTGAAATATCAAGATTTCCTGAGTTATCTGTAATAATTGTATTAAATGCATTGTTTATTTGAATGATTTAAATTTCACTGTTGTTATATTTTTAGGGATATCAAGCAAGCCCATAGAGTAGCTTCAAGTATACAGGCCGGTATCGTGTGGATAAACAATTACAACATCTTTCCTCCTGAAATACCTTTTGGCGGATATAAGAAATCCGGTTTTGGTCGAGAAAACGGTCTAGCAGCCATCAACGATTTTTCCCAATTGAAAAGCATTTACGTAGAGATGAATGGCATTGATTGTCCAATCTATAAGGAGTAAAATTGTGTAATTTAATATAAAGATTGTAAATATTTCATTCCAAATATCAAATGTTTTATTTTTAATTATTAAATTAAAGTTAAATTATACACAGATTTAAATTAATGTATATTATTGAATATGCTTTCAGGCTAAGTACAAATTTTATTTTTGATTTATGCATTTATTTTCTGATATTTATATACAGTGAATGTAAAATAAAAAAAATTTTAAATCATTAAAAATTATTTTTGTATTTTTTTAACTTGTAAGAAAAGATTTATTAAAAGTTGTAAATTCTTATAATTTTTTCTGTAAGTTATTTATTTTAAAAAATATATAAAAACCACCCAACTGCCCCTATGGTGTGCCTGGTCAAACCTACAATGGTTATGCAAAAACGTTCTTCAGTGCCCACGAGATGGAAAGTTTGAAGAAAATCAACCATGTAATTTATAAAATGTGTGAAGTAATATCTTAAAATGAGAAATGACTCCATAACAGATGTATGGGGCCTGAAGATAGAGCAAGTCCGTTTTACCTTGTAGCCAACCGCTTTGGGGAATCCGAGATTGAATCCCGACTGGTCGAAAAACCCCAAGAATTTTTAGGAGGGTGGCCGTCCGAATACGTTAGGCTCATCCATCACCACCCGGCGATATGCTTGACAAAAAAGACCTCCTCTGCTGAAAAGACTGTAGGGCGGAGAAACAGCTTTCGCAATGTAATTGTCAAAAATTCAATATTGAAATGTGCAAAGTCATAATTGTATAAAGGAAGGTGCGGATACAAAACAAAGTACAAATATGGCAGTATTAAAACAACATAGATGACAGTTACCTCAAAATTTATAGTACTGTATTTAAATATTTACTAGACCTTCCAATAGTTAAGAAGAGTGCAAACCGTTAATTTTCGGTTTTGCGCCTTTTTAAAAAGTATTTCTATGGAAAGAAATGATTTTATTTTACATATATGCATTTTATTATAAATTCGATAATACTCGTTTTACGTTGTAATTCCTTTCCATTTCTGGTAAACCATTTCCGAGTTGCCCTATTTTCTATTCGCTGTATCAAATCGGATTTGTTGGATGGGATGCGGTAACGCAACACGTGTACAGTACGATCTGTTAAGCGGGTATGCTTCCTGGTAGGAGTTTTTATGGAAATTTGGCCCCCTATTTAGGTGTTAGATACACGAAAATGCAGGGAAACTCCACGTTGGTGATGCCCGAACTCGTGACCAATTACTAGTGATTAGGGTTCTCAAATTTCCTGGGTTAAAAAAACAACCGGGATCCTGGGAAATTTTTCTTATCCTGGAAAATCTCGCAAATTTCTTAAAAATTCACATTTTTATTATTTTGTGTTAAGGTTGAGGAAATTTTGCAAATAGAAAGTATAATTATCTCAAAAACTGTCAGAATACATTTGTATTTATTAATTTTAAACTACTTATTAGAGTTTTTTAATTTTTGCTCGTTACAAATGGTCAATAATCAATACGTAGCTTATTTGTGGCAGGACTCTCAAAATTCTTTACCTGTAATATCTGGAATAATTGTGTTTATGCTGTCTTGATTTTTAATCATGCCCAGTAGCTTCAATAACTGCGTAACGCCAAGTTGCGCAAATTGGGCAAGGACAAAAACGAGTACGAAGTCTGAAAGGATGAAGTTTTTCTTCATAACCTGATTATTAAAGACAAACAAACTGCCGAATTATTGGGCTATGATATTTCTATTAAAGCAGTCGAGGTAGACAAATCGAGAATACTAGAGAACAAAAGAAGTACTACAATCTAGAAAACGAACTAGAAATCTTTCAGGATACAGGTGAACAACATATAATATTTGTCTTCTCTTAAATGCATTAAACACGATTCCACTCGCATCAATTGAATCCGAAAGGGCATTCTCGATAGCAAGACTTTTCATTACTAAAATAAGAATTAGATTGAGTGATCGGAGTATTGACCATCTTTGCTTTTTAAAATCTTATAATACAAAATATTGTACATTTTTATATTTTATTTAAAAAACGAAAATTACCTTCTAAGTTAGAAGTTTGATCTAAGTTCATATTTTTTTAATTTTTAACTCAATTCAAAGCATTTTTGTTGTTGTTATAAGCAGTTTCCAGCAAACTTTAATAATTTTTTTTTATTTGTGAAAATTTCTACGTAATTCAAAGGTAATTTTTAATAGTATTATTAGTATAGCATTATTAATATGATTTTTGAGGTTACAGAACGTATTAAATTACTTTAATTAAAAAACGAAAAATAATTATATCATTTGATTTCATGATATTTTGTATATCTTAAAAATAATTATTTTTGTCCCGGGATATACCGGGAAATGAAAAACCCTGCTAGGGATCAGAGGTTTTATCCATTTGGTGGGCGGCAAAGTTAAAAAAAAAAACTAAAAAAAGATGCCAAGACCGATCCGCCACGACCATCCAGAAAATTAATTCAAAATTTACAGCTTAATGTTCACATTTTAATCATGCTAAAATTTAAAAATTATTAGAAATGTGTACAACGCTTAGTTAAATTTCACGTATTAGCGTCAATTAGAGTATTTATTTTAAAAACATTTTAAAAAGATCCACAAGAAACAAAAACAAGAGGCGACCTCCAACGGCTAAATCGGGAAAGATTATAGTGTTTGCAGAGTTTACTATTTTTGCCATTTTTATAAACAGAAATTATAAAGCTGACTTCTTGCAGAAGTTTCCTCGGTTTTCTATTAATCATTTAACGAATCGGATGTTAACTTCAAGTCGAAGGAGTCGAAATTAAAGTACAAATATCATCAATTAGTCCTTATGAATTCACTGAGCAATCAACAGGTAAGGTTTACTTTGCTTAATTGTGTTTGTGGCTAAGCAATTGTGACGTATAACATATGAAATTGATTCTTTATACAAATAACACAACATTTATTGTAGCTTATTGTGTAAAAGGGTGAGTTTATTTGTTCACAGATGTTGGCCATTTTGTATGCAAATTTCCAAATGCATTGTGGACTTTTTTCATTGTCTTCTATCTGATTTTGTTTGTTTATAGTTATGAAGTTAATTTTCTATTCCGATTCGAACAATTGCAGAGTCCATTGTTACTATGGTGGATTACCTCTTGGCCCCCTTTTTGGGCCCCTTTTTTATGACTTAAACAAATTTGTAGTTGTAGAAATCTTTGTGTGATACACAATTGCAATGGTAAAATTTGCTTTGTTTTCTAATTTTTTTATGTAATTTTGGGACTTCCTGTAGGTGTGTGCCCGGGGTTCTGGGTCAGTGCATTAATTTGGATGGTGTGTTTTATAGCAGTTTAAAATATATATAATGATAAAGATGCTCTTATTTGTTCAGAAATGACTTATTCATTGTGTATCCATTCTGGATTTCGTTTAAATTGTTATTTTTCATTATTCTGGTGGCTCATTTTCCTATGGGCAAAAGGGAAATTGCCTTGGGGCCTCGAACCAATCTTTTATAAACTTATTACTGTAGTAAGAATGTCAACATTTAAATTTGGGCCATCAGACTTTTCAAAGTAGTTTCCTATTATTCCAATTTTATAATTTTAAACTTATATTTTTGGAGTAATAGGAAACTACTTTTCAAAGTAGTTTCCTATTATCAAGAATTGTCATGTAAAATCAAAACATATACCTGCAATTTTACGATACTGTACTGTTATTTTATGTCTGTAAAACCAACTAACAAATATATTGTATTATAATACCTGATTATGCACTTGTGACATCAGGTCATGTAACCTTGTTACATTAATAAATCTAAATGAATGAAAAAAAAAATGAATTTAAATTTGGGCTGTACTTGGAGACCATAGACTGCCTGTTTGGCACGGGGTGCACGGAAATTAACCTGCCAGAGATAGTGCTAAAATATGAACCATGGTGCCAGGGATTTCCCAAGAATGTTTGAAGTCGACGCCATTTGTAGGACCCCCTAATTCAAATTTGTCTGTTCCCCATGAAACTATGATGTGCCACTGCATTTTCTTCCTTTTTTTCATCAACTATAAACATAATTTTTTGTTAATTAAACCAACAATAATTTTAGTGACTAGTAAAGTTAATTTCCTAAATATATTTTCCTGGAAGTGACGATTAGATGTGGGTCCAGATATTGTAATTGGTAATGTATCTGCATGGTAAGCGGAAATTGTGGGCTTGAATCCATCTCTGAATTGGTTGTTTTTTCTAGAATATTCTAGAAGTTAGTTAATTTCTAATTATTAAATTTAATACAAAATGGCAAATTAATCATCTACTTTTCTTTTTGCAACTTACTTTATCTATGTTTAATTAGCTGAGTTAAGATCTGATGAATCAGACATTATCATATGATTAATTTATACTTTGGACTTAGTTTACTGTATATTTTTAATCATAACTTCCCTTTCCATCTGTGGACACTAAGAGGACTTCTTTTAGGAAGCAAATTATAGTTTTGGTCAGTCCCACAATGGTACAGCTGGGTGGTGAGAGATGGGAACAATTTACTAATTTATATCAAGTACTGTACATTTACATTTAAAAATTGTATTATTTTATAGCATGATATATTAATATATTTGAAAATATTTTTTGCAATTTGAGTTTTATTTATATGTATAACTAGCTGCTACCAGCGGCTTTGCCCATGCAGATTTTGCAAGCAAACCCCATTTATATTCAGTATTTCAACAACCATAGTAATTGTTATATAACACCTACCACTGAGAATGATGAGAATTGCCGAGAATCAAACGAACTATTTTCAATTCGATCAATTTTCTGGAACGTTTACAATCGTTCTATAATTGAACCAATATACAATAACAAATTCGAATTTAAGATGGTTCAAACATTTTTAAAATCGAAATAGATAAAAATATTTATAACAATGTCTGAAATGTTATTAATTTAATACACCTAAGTACTCGATGAAGACTAAATCCTCTCCCACCCACGGGGGAATTTCGAGAAATCCCTTCTTAGTGTGAATTCCCATGGCATACCCTACAAAAACGCAGATTAATTTTAAAACAAAAAATTGCATCTAAACTAGTACAGTAGAAGCCATTTTTCCAGTTAAGCCTTAATCCTCTCTCTCTCCCCCCACAGAGGAATTTCGAAAAATCCCTTCTTAGTGTGCATTGCCATGGAGTACCCTACTAAAACGCAGATAAAAACAGAAAATCGCATCTAAAATAGTACAGTAGAAGCCATTCTTCCGGTTAAGCCTTAATCCTCTCCCCCCGCAGAGAAATTTCGAAAAATCCCTTCTTAGTGTGCGTTTCCATGACGTACCCTAACTGTGTACCAAATTTCACCTCTTGGTTAAGTGGTTTGCTCTGGGCGATGATGAATCAGTGAGT